AGACAGACAGACAGACAGACAGACAGACTGACTGACTGACTGACTGACAGACAGACAGACAGACAGACAAGCAGACAGACATGCAGACAGAGACAAAGGCAGAGAGACACACACAGATAGAAACGCAGACAGACTCAGAGGCAGAGACAAAATGATAAATTGTGACCTTGTTTTTTTTTTAACGTTGGTTTGCTCCCTCTACTAGGATTTTCTTACTTTGTCGGTGGCGTTGTTGGATTTTTTAATTTTTTAATTTGTTAAAATCTTTTTTTTGGTGGGAGGGGTGTCTAGGGTTTAGGCAAAATACTGGCTGGTTCGACTGGCCCACTCACTACCAACAGGCGTACAATGGGACACAGCATCCCAGAGGACATAATATGGAGATTCTCGATAAAACAACTCCCTGCAGAAGATCAAACTCACATCTTCTTTGCGCAGTTAAAAAGGCTAATAATTCAAACCCCAAACGCTGATGTGATTGTAATAAAATAAACATTAAAAAAAAATTCAGAATGATGAATAAAATGAATACCCCTCCCCCCTTCTAGAAACACAAGGTGAGAAACACGACATACGCAAGCTATGAGTAGACACACTTTTATAAAATGCTTGCAGAAAACAAATAAAATGCTTGGTGAAATCGGAAAATCCCAAAACACGATCCAAACAAGTTGTGGTACTTGTGGGGAAACAATGAGTGCCCCCTTAGCACGAGACCGAATTCCAGGACACAATTCCACCTCCCAAGGCCCACAAATAGACATCCTATTGCCAACCCTGTTCGACCAATCAAACAACCACTTTATTTCCATCAAATATACATCTCTTTCTTCTAGCCACTCATCCCCTACCCACCTTCCCGCGTCAGGCGTTTCCTTTTGTCCAGCCTCTTATAATATTTCTCTTTCCTTCCTTACCACAACCCCGCACCCTCCACCCCCCCCCCCCCCACACACACACACACACACACACACATCTTCACTACTTGGAAATGCATTTTGCCAAAGAGATGTTTGTATAAAAGCTAATCCTTCCCCCCCCCCCCCCCCACTTCCTTCCGCTTTAAACCCTTATGCATTCCTTCTCCAGTCATAATGTTAGTTTAAAATGTTATCCTTTTAAGCCATTTCCAGAAGAGAAAGATTATAGTGCTCTCTCTGGTTGTAAACAACTAATAATTATTCTCATTATTATTCCCATTTCCTTATTTGGCAATTCGGCCCACAGTTCACGTGCCTCTTAAATGACCTTGCATTGCTGAAGAGGTGTTAAACCCCCATACCCGTAACAGAGTATTAAGGATCTAAAATTACGTCGAATGGGGGCATAAACACCTTCATTTAAGGAAATAAAAGATTTTGAAAAAAATACAAATAACCAGAAACTGGCTTCACTTTCGTCGTGGTGTATAAAAAGACAAAACAAAACAAAGAAATACACAACTCCTTCCTTACTTTTCTACTATTCTTTTCCAACAGGAAGAGATCGTGCACTCTGAACCTGGGCTTTCATTGTCAAACAGAGGAGATCTCAAACTTCGCAGATATGTACGACTTCCTCTCAAGTCCTCTGAGCCCGGGCAAGAAACGCTCGGTGAGGGCAGTGGCTTGATGGCCCCCACACACCGCCACTGACAACCTCGCGGGCAGGTAACGAGTCTTATGTGATTATCATGCTATGAAGTAGTTAAATGTGCTAATCCCCAAATGTTGTTTTTTTAAAAGCTGCAGTTTCACAATCTGTGGTATGGGTTGAATACACTCAAAATATTTCGTCAAAATTCAACTTTTAAAAGGTGAAAACACCACTACAATAAATACACAATGGATGTACAGTGGTTTAAAGAAGGAAATAATTTTCGTTCTCCAGTAAAATTTTTCTTTCTAGGCTTAGTGAATTTTGACAACTTGCCGACGATGGGTCCAATCAGCACCCGACAAAAGGCGATCTTGCCACACATTTCAAGTCACCATACACACATCAGGAACACTAATGTGCATTCTTATTTCATAAAAAGTATGTGGTAACCTGCCTTTTAAAATAAATATTCGCAAAACACAACTGAAAAATGTGTATGAAAAACGAAATTATGGGTCACTTAAAAAAAGCCATAGCACAGCACGTGTACAAGTCTTGTCGAAGGACCAGAATTTGTGTCCTCCGTGAGTTAAAATTGTTAGGATGCTTAACAATAATGATATTGTAATTAGGCGTGTAATATAATTTTTTTTAGCAGAAAATACTACGAGTATAAGCACACGGTTAGCTCTTCCGCTGGAAGACAACAATAGTGCAATGTTTATCTACAATGTAACTTACTATCTTTCCATAAATGGATGTCTTCAGTAGAAATGCTTTAGCAGGGTGTCCAAAACGACATGTTTTTTTCCACGATAACTGATCTTCCAAAATTCCACACCTCCCTTTTTTGTAATTCAATCGCTCTTATTCTAGGAATAGTTAGGTTTCAGTATGCTTCACAACAAAAACTGCCAAACTATCCAGGCATACTACGTGTCTGTATGTTCTCTGCATATGTGCCATTTATGTGTGTGTGTGTGTGTGTGTGAGTGTATGTGTGTGTGAGTGTGTGTGTGTGTGTGTGTGTGTGTGTGTTTGTGTGTGTTTGTGTGTGCACGTGTGTGTATGTGTGTGTATGTATTTGTATGTGCCGTACATGTTAGATCAGCTACGTGAGTGCGCAGACGTCAAAATCCCAATAACAGCTCTCCCCATTTAGTTGGTTCTCAAATAACGTCAGGGCGTGGAATTCTTTTTAAATAGGTGTTTTTATGCCCGTACCAATGCATTTTCAAAACATTCGACCCCGACTGTCAGGATCAACCCGGGGTGAGGAGATGCAACGTCCCAGCAGAAAGAGCGAACTTTTCGATTAAACCTTTCCCTACTTAGAAATCGAAGCCAGGTATTCTGTGTGAGATAACGAAGCGTCTAAGCGCTACAGCAGGAAGGTATTCAAATGTTTTAATACATCATGTTCACATCACTCTAACGCGCTCCTTTGTTTTTTCACTGACAATAAACACTCTTATTTTTTTCCTTCAAGGTACACAGTACACCTTACTTCAATGTATCAAGACCTGCTATCAAGCTGCCGAGAGCAAAAGGATCTAAGTCCTTTGCCAAAAATTGCTGTGCAGAGGCACGTTACCTGGATCAAAACTACTGAAAGATGTTAGTCTCATTCAGTTGTTCTCTCTCTACATATGTATGATGTTTCATAGGTTCTGTCTTACAGAGAACTCATTTGATTGAAATACATTTGCTGGTTTTGTTGCTGTTTTGTTTCAGAATAACTGCATACTGTCGTGGTTCATCGTGTAAGGGGATAAAACATAACAGCGTAAACATCTATGTCTTCACGGGTTTGATTTGCCAAACATTATTTGGGCGTCTCCTACAGAATGTGCTCCTTTTTCCCCAGTGTGCGAGATAAGACATTGATCTGGAGTCTGGTTTTTATTTGGTCGGTTTGACTGGCTCTGAACTAAACATAAGTTAATTCATGTACTGCCAAAAAGTGAACACCTCATATGGACAGGTTTGTGGAAAAAGGAAATAACATTTTTATAAAATGTCTATAAAAACCAAGACGTGTCTGAATACTAGATCTTTCTTAATAATTACAACTGTAAATTAGAATGCCAGGCAAGAGTTCCCCCGTCCTGATGCTGCCCGGGTTTTGAAATGTTGCTACGAAGTAAAGAATTTTGTCCCCCCCCCCAAAAAAAAAAAGAAAAAAAAAAGAAAAAAAAAGGGGAAAAGCAAGAAATATGAAAGTAAGGAAAATTTAGGTTTCACCCAAAAGATTATCTTTAACCTGCACCTTCAGTTTAGCCCTTGTCTTTGATCGTCCTCCATCCCGATATCCTATTTCGTTCTCTTTTTAAAAAGAATAATATATAATCCTGATAACTAGAAGGCCTGTAAAAAGGTTCAAATATATCTGCTTTTTCCTTCGAACAGAGAAGTTCCCTAACAACAATTTTACTCAAGTAACAGGTCACCGTTTTACTAATTTGGAACAAAAATATTATGTATTAACCAATTTCCTAAATTTGTATCTTCGTCTTGAGCATTCATTACTTGTAATTACTTTTATTGTTTACACTGAATAGTTATTCCCACATCATTGACAACATTTCCTTATAACGTGTAACTTCATAAAAAGTAAGTATCACATTCAAACATTATTCAAAAATGCGTTTTTGGCTATTATAATACTTTTGTGAATTCGTTTTCAGAGAAAGACGTTCGTAAGTTTGATTTACATCGTATGAAATGAATATTGAAGGACAGGCCTGGTATGTGGAGAATAAAGATATCCTTTTGGAACAGTGGCACACTCGACTAGTGTATTCATTTGTTATTTGTTTCGTTTGTATGTGTGTTGTTTAGTCTAGGACATTAAAAAATGAACTATTTCCTTGCTTGACCCAAATTCACCCAGAACAATAGAACCATTTTGAAGCTAAACAAATTGTTAATTTTATAGTCGTGTGAGGGTTAAACTCCCCATTCAACACAGTAGGGTTATTAAAAAGGCAGGACCTCCAAATTTAACATCCATCTCTGAAAAGGCAGAGCGAATTGGTTGAAAGCCTCGAAAACTCACCAAAACAATCCAAGTTTAAAAACACAATGTTGAAGATTCTAACTAAGGCCGCCCACTCTACAGTCCAGTGTAATCGCCACTGAGCAAATTGGGCGCCCAGAGAAATTGCCCTCGTACTCAGAGGGGATCGAGGAGGAAAAGCAAGACAAGAAAATAACGATGAAACAGGAAGGTTATGATACATAATTGTAGATTCATCCGTCTCTGTGTTATAACTCAAGCTCCTGACGTGTGCTCTTTCAGCCTGTGATGGGGGTGCAGCCCCAGCCGGTTGGACGTGGGTTGAGGGGGGGGGAGAGAGAGAGAGAGAGAGAGAGAGAGAGAAAGAGAGAGAGAGAGAGAGAGAGAGGGGGTGTGGGGGGGG